CACACACCCGTGGGTTTTCTTTTATATCTTTTGTGTTTTCCCTGGTTCATCAAAGTATGCCAGTTTGCATGAGAGGCAGAAATGTCCCTAAATTAATCAGTTTGTGTTTTTTGTAAGTACAAGCCAGAGAAGAACCAAGAAGGGAAACATATTTCAGACTGAGCAGAAACAGGAAAATATAAAAAAGACAGAGAAACGAAGAAGCAGCAGCAGTGGTTTTTTCCCAGTATACAAAGTCGAAGCTTGATGAATGGAGACTGGAATCCAGAAAGAGACATTTTGGAAATAATCCTTCCGCTGCTGTTCCCAGTGACGGACTCATTGGATGAGTGCGGAGGAGGGAGGTAATACGCTTGACGGAACGGCTTCGGTTTTTCCACTTTGATGAGGGAGAGGGAGTCATCATGGCGATGAAATAAAAACCATTCCAAATGAAGGGAGCGCCTCATCCTCCCCGTAAAAAGACAAATCTATAAAGCAGTGACAGTTTAAGTGAAGATGAGGCTGACTGGCTCGTGTGTTGTCCACGCTGCCTCCAGGACTTGCAGTGATTTTTAAAGAGGCTGGCAGGAGTGCCAAATAGGGGTGTCTTTCTTGCTCAAGGACACTTGATTGTGACCACTCAGCAGGCATTAAAGCACTGAGGCACTTATGTTTTTGGACAGCTCTGGCCTGTTGCTTTCTCTTGGGTTTTTTTAGACACCGTCAAACGTAAAGCCTTTAAAGCAGTAACAGCGGCTGTAGTTGAAGTGCAGACTCGTATAAAAGAACGGGCACAGCCATTGTGGCCTCAGCCTTTGACGTAGCGTGCTTTTGAAGCAATCTTTTTAGACATAGTTGTTACTTGGTTAGTTAAATAACTGCACAGCAAGCTTATTTCTCTGGAAATGACATTTAAAAATGTTCCCACAGAAACCTCCAATATAAATACAGTGGAGGTCCAGTTCACTGGCTTGGATTAGATGAGATGAAGCCCAGTCAGCACTCACCTTTCCACTCAAAGCAGCCACACTTAAAAGCCTTAATGATAAATTTATGTGTCACACTTGTTTATTTCGGCTCTAAAGTTTTTAACCCTCAACCCCTCCCTCAGTTTTTCTTTTTTTCCTTTTCTATAAATGAGAGAACTGGATCCTTGCCATTTGTTTTTTCTTTTCCATTGTTGTTAGCTTGTTTTTGGCCCACAGGCTGCCCTTTTCCTGCCTTGGATGTTGTGCGCTTACGTTATTATTTTTGGAATAGCCGATCTATAACTCCCAATCTCGCCTGACCTTAAGAATGTGAACATTTTCAATATCTGTGACGGGCGTTTTACCAAAGATAAAAAGTTTGAATTTCACTCTGATCAGGTTTTTGTTTTTTGGCAGTCTGACAACAAATAACCTGCAGTAACACCGCAGCACTGTCCAGTCTGCTTTGGAGTTATTGGTAGGAAAGAGCTCGGTGTCATCTCTTTTTTTTTTTTGCTTTCAGTTATTGATATTAATGACAGGAAATAACCACTGAGAAAAACTCTGTTTTGAACTGGAGAAGTCTGAACATTGGCTGTAAGTGCTGTCAGGGCTGTTTGCTGAGGGTGTGTGTGTGTGTGTGCTGTGCTCTGCACTTCCACCGCTTCCTTTCCCGTACACACGACTGCTGTTGGAGGTGTTGGGATAGCCTCCAAGCTTACAGATCCTACATTTCCCATAACGCACCTCTGTGACTTCTTTTTGCTTCCATGTTAAATATTCATGTCTTTCACATTCAGTGCTGCCAGTTTACACCACAACCTTGTTAAAAGACATCTCCAAGGCCCGGGTTAAGAGAGGTGATGATCCTGTTACCGTGACATCGCCAGAGTAAACATGTCGGCTCCGCCCTCTTTTCAGTGCATGTATGCTAATCATCCACATGTTTTGTAGCATTTGGCTTTCGTGTGTATCGTGCACAGATGTGTTTCTGCACCACCCACACCCATCTGCTGTTGTGCTCACAGAGTAGCCGACCGACTGCCCGAACGGGCTAACATGCCATCATGGCTCTGGCCCCCCGCCAGGCCCGTGGCCCCCACCGATTGATGTTTTCCGAGAAACATTAGCAGGAAGTAGGCCAGAAAGAGAGGAGGGGTAAGTGGGGAAAGTAGTGCTCCTTTTAGAGAGGTCTTTTTTTT